TCGGCAATTGAATGATTTCGAAAACGCAGTTTTAACTTCTTGCCAAAATTCAAAGGATGAACTCCGCCGTCCTCGGGAAGAGATTCCGAAAGAAGAGAGAGCAGGTGCACCAAACATCGTTCGCGATGAATAGCCATCTGGCATTCGATGATTTGAATTAGAATGTATATTACGGTCATTCTGTTTGTTATGGAGAACTTTCCTTCGAGAACCCGCCGAGGGCGAAAAATGCATCCCGCCGATTCTTATGAATAACCCAGCTCGAGGAAGCCGCGAGGCGAATCGATCCGAGCGAAGGGAACAGGTGCATCGTCTTCTCATTCGCAGTTTGCTACTCTCGATGGACTTCATGCCGCTTCCTCGAAAATTGCTTGGCTTCGCCTATTCTCTCCGATCTATTCCTTTTCTGATTTTTTTATTCCAATATAAAATAGATAACAAATTTTAGCTAGGGGAAGCGCACTTCCGTGCAGCAAAAAAATGATCTCAAATAAAAACTAGTCCGGTTTGACCATCGTCGATAAACTGAATCGTATCAACAAGAGAGAACCATAATTACCCAAATAAACAATCATAATTACATATTTGCGATTCATTTACGCATATTGGCACCATGTCATCTGCATCGCATGATAAAGATGTATGCTGTTATTCAATAGTTCAAATTTGAGTTACATTTTGAGCTAAATATTCTGTTTGCGCGCGTATACATATGTAGATAGTATATTAGGCTCGTATTGTTATCATTCAATTTGTCATTTAATGAAAGTGAAATTAAAAGTCACCATGTACTTTTGATGTGAGTACAATATGGGAAAGTATAAGAAAAATATAGCTATGAAGATCACTGACTCGTGTGAAACTGCGACACGAAGTCAATGTGAAGTAAATTTGTCTATCCGGGCAGTTGAAGACAGTATTTTTCCTGTAACCGTACAAGTCTTTCCGCTATGTCGGCAGAATTTTTTCTGCTTCAATTATTTGCATCCTTATCTTTAATTTGATTCCATCCGGTTTATTAATTTACGCTATATTTGTAACGTTAATGGACCTTTGAGATCGTGCCTGCAAAAGCTATATTGGTCGCGAAAGATGAATCTCGCTCATTCTTGCACAGAACTTGACTCAAGGAAGCTGCAAGGCGAGACGATTCGGATGAAGGGAACAGGTGCATCGTCTTCTCATTCGCAGTTTGCTACTCTCGATGGACTTCATGCCGCTTCCTCGAAAATTGCTTGGCTTCGCCTATTCTCTCCGATCTATTCCTTTTCTGATTTTTTTATTCCAATATAAAATAGATAACAAATTTTAGCTAGGGGAAGCGCACTTCCGTGCAGCAAAAAAATGATCTCAAATAAAAACTAGTCCGGTTTGACCATCGTCGATAAACTGAATCGTATCAACAAGAGAGAACCATAATTACCCAAATAAACAATCATAATTACATATTTGCGATTCATTTACGCATATTGGCACCATGTCATCTGCATCGCATGATAAAGATGTATGCTGTTATTCAATAGTTCAAATTTGAGTTACATTTTGAGCTAAATATTCTGTTTGCGCGCGTATACATATGTAGATAGTATATTAGGCTCGTATTGTTATCATTCAATTTGTCATTTAATGAAAGTGAAATTAAAAGTCACCATGTACTTTTGATGTGAGTACAATATGGGAAAGTATAAGAAAAATATAGCTATGAAGATCACTGACTCGTGTGAAACTGCGACACGAAGTCAATGTGAAGTAAATTTGTCTATCCGGGCAGTTGAAGACAGTATTTTTCCTGTAACCGTACAAGTCTTTCCGCTATGTCGGCAGAATTTTTTCTGCTTCAATTATTTGCATCCTTATCTTTAATTTGATTCCATCCGGTTTATTAATTTACGCTATATTTGTAACGTTAATGGACCTTTGAGATCGTGCCTGCAAAAGCTATATTGGTCGCGAAAGATGAATCTCGCTCATTCTTGCACAGAACTTGACTCAAGGAAGCTGCAAGGCGAGACGATTCGGATGAAGGGAACAGGTGCATCGACTTCTGGTTCGCAAGCCGCTCGTTCTCGATGGCCTTTGTGCGGCTTCCTCGAAAATTGCGAAACTTCAGCTAGTTGCACCTACTTCCCCCTTGGATTTCTTTTCTTTCGGGGCCAAAGATCGAATTAAAACAAGTCCTAACCTTTCACACCTTGTGACTCGGAGATGTTACTTCTTTGTTGAATATTTTCTGTCAAAATCTTGTTCCTTCATTTAAGAGAATATGAAAGTGCTTGTCGGCAAGGTGTTAACTCTCAAATGCGTGACTTTTTTTTTGTATTCTTTGATATATTTCCAGCTAATAAAAAAATGCTGTTACAAAAATATTGATCCGTTGCAAAAATAAATTAACATTAAATCCGCGATACCGTTCAATGCTTACATTTAAAATCAGCAGGTGTTGTTGTCTCCAAACAGCGACGCTATGGATTTAAGGGTTAAACGGTAACGGCAACGAAGATTATAGTCCTGCCAAAAAAGGAAACCCCCGTTGAGGGAAACTCGAACCAAATAAAGCGGCGACAAGGAGCACTCATAAAATGGTCAAGATTTTTAACACCTCGCCGACACGTTGGACCCTTCTTTTATTTCTAACCTTGCAAGTTTGTTTGCGTAATTTCCAGGTAAGTAGCGGTGGTAAACATCGTGGCACCTTTTACGATCCATTTCTTATCACGCGGCATCCTTAGGCGAGGCATTTGCATTAAGTTTACAGTAAACAGGCGCCGAATGCGGCGACGTTTCGGCCCGAAAATGGCGTCCCTTACATCCTTCGGGAAGACGTTTACCTTGGACACTTACACGGCGGCGTTTCAATGGATACGAATATCACGGTACCGACGATAGGCCGCGATGAAAAGGCAACTTTATCTGCCGCTTCAAATAAAAGGTACCGTCCCGACTATCGCGGCGACACGCATCGAGGAACAAATGTTCGCTTAGCGAGCATTCGCGCGAGTTATCTCGCCACCTCGTTACCGCGGGATATTTACGCAGGCCCTTTCGTTTCACTCAGCTTCCCAATTAGCGGTCCAATTCTTTGCACGTTTCGCGTATTTGCACGCAACCAGTAGTTGACTCCTCGCCGCTTCCCAAAACAAACATCCTGGGCCCGGTAATAAACGTAACGAAACAAAGAACACCTTGCAACCCGAGGCAATCCGAAACACGAAAGACACGGAAAGCGACAATTTTGCTATTTCGAGATTGGAGAAAAAAATCTTTAATGAAGAATTAAGAATTAAGAATAACCTTCGTACCTTCTTTCGCTTCATTTAGACCCGAACCGATTTTCTTTCTCCTTTTGTTCTTCTTTCTTTCATACTTCTCTAAGCAGTTTTTAATTACCTAAATATTAATTTTGTAAACACATTTGCGGGGGTACTATTGTTTTCACGGTTTATAACCATGGGTCCATATGAACTCGATGGCAGCAAACGATGTGACAATTGAGAAAAGTGTAAAGGACAATTGAGTCTGTCGATTACCCCGTATGTTTAATTAAGTGAAATATCAGGGTTATATGTTATCGCGTTATTGGCTCCTGTTATATAAATGTAACTAAAAATAACTACAAAAGTTAAACCGACAATAGGTATAATCGATCAAGCTCGATCGCTTAAAATATGGAATTACTAACATGGTCTTACAAACTTGTAACAGATATCATAAATTTCGTATATAAGTGTATTAATTTTCCTACGCAATTTCACGAGATTATAACATGATATGAAATTATAAATCTATTTACAAATTTATACGAAACGTCTGCTGGTCATGTTTTACACGTGTACTACCCTCGTATCTGTTAACAGTGTATGAATGTTTAACAATGTAAGACCCCAATTGTACGAAAGGAAGTTAAAATCCATTTAGGGCCTACAATTAGGGGTTCTTAAAATACCATTTTCCAAAATTTCACCTCGAATATTTCGAGATGAACGTTCTTCGATCCCTCGGAATGAGCCTAACCGAGTCTGGAAATCGAGCGAGGGCTAACGCAAACACGGGGCATCGAACTCGTCCACGAGACGGCCCCTCGCAAACGTGGTCGAGAAATAAGCGAGGGCTCGTAAGCATTTATGGAAATTGAGCGTCAATCGGAAGCGAGTCAGGGTCTCCTCCTGTTCGACGTCCGAGGACGCCGACGCTCACGAAGCGAAGCGAAGACAATGCGTTAGTTATCTGCTCCGCCGACAAAAGGGCTCGAAGCGACACCAATCGGCCCACTCCAAGGAGCTTTAATAGACCGACCGAAGTTGAGAGGCATTCCTTGAACGTCTTGAAAAGACGATAACGAAACGACCCTCGAATCGGCTTGCCGCCTTGAAAAGGAGCCTTTGATATTTTAAGGTGAAGCGAAGCCCGTCGAGGAACTTAATCGTTGTCGGTAAAAACAAATTCTTTCGACCGATGTGCGCCACATTACCGACGTTTATATTCATATCGAAATCCGGGTCGCACCGCGTCGAGAACTGTACGGAATGGCACGTTCCAAGTGTCGTTTCAGCAGAATTATTAGAAAGAGATCGAAGCACGACTCCATGAACCCCCTGGATACATAATTTATTATGCTCTAACCGACCAACGGCGCGACATATTGCATTTAGCGACATTTAAATTGTGGATTTGAAAGCACCTGCTGGTTCCAGGATATCCAAGAATTTCCCGGCAGTCCTTCTTTTCTTGATATTTCCCCCATGAATCCGTAATGTTCGATTACTATAATGGTCAATCTTTACGCCTACGTCCTAAAAGTCTTCGTTTTCGATTCTAACCTTTGAAAAGGCGTGAAATATTAAAAATATGTGTTGCCGTCTTGGTTCTGGTTTGAGATACGTATCTTCTTTAAGGTCTCTATATTTACATGGTGGTCTTAAACGATTCGCTGCATCCAGTTCGGAGGAAAGTTTGATTATTATTTGACGGCTAACCGAGACTTTCGTATCATCTTCTTACAGATCAGCCTGTGCCTGGCCGGCCTGGCCCTGCTCGTCTCCGCGGAGGAGAAGCCCACGAACACGGTCTCCGTGTCGCCTGGATCCCCGGTGATCCAGAGCAACACGATCCAGAAGCTGATCAAGATCCTCGAGAAGTACGGCCTGGAGGAGCAGAGGGGCCTCAAGAGGGTCTACTTGAGCAACCGATCCATCACCTGCAACGATGGCTCCCAGGCTGGCTTCTACCTGAGGAAGTCTCACGGCTCCAAGCGGTGGATCATCTTCCTCGAGGGTGGCTGGTACTGTTACGACCACAGAAGCTGCAGAAACAGATGGCTAAGGCTGCGCCATCTGATGACGTCCACGCAATGGCCCGAGACTCGGGACGGTAAGTTTCGCTCTTCTTTTTTCCTTATTCCTCTCGCCGAAAGGGACAGGAGATCCTTTGCTAGCCTATTTTTCACTATTTATGTTCTATCTGTTTTTTTACTGCCTCCGTAATTGCGATGTTTGGCACCTATTTCGATCGTTCGCTGCAATTGGAAAAACGTACGCGAAGGTGAAGCTATTGATAATTGAAGTAGGTACCCTGTTAAAAAGATTCATAAAATTCCTACACTATTGGTGCACACGGTTGTAGTAAAATTTTTAATTTGATATCTTCATAGTGATTTAGTCCGTATTTATTATATTCTTCTGTATAAATTTATAATTTTATGTTACCGTGTTAAAATTTTCAATGTGCATTTCTCACAATATGATAAATAAAATGAGATAGCTGGAATTAAATACTTTCAGTTTAAGCACATTTTTTTTTAATTCTTGAAATAATATAAAAGAAATAGGTTCTTTCAAGGTACTACCATTTCCCAGGTGTTAAAATGGGGATTTTTACTCTTCTTTCAGTTGGAGGACTGTTATCCGCGAATCCTGAGGAGAATCCTTTTTGGTGGAATGCAAATCACGTGTAAGTATTATTTGTACATGTATCATAACTATATTTGTACAAATACGACTACATTTGATACGACTGTATACGTTTATGCTATTGGTGCAGTGATCGCTGCAGTAGAAGCAAAACTATCAGGAATGCTGTCGTTTTCTAAGAGGGTAAATGTTTTCATTTTTCATGTGGGATTCAATGGACGACTTTCTGTACCTTAGATTCGTGCCTTACTGTACGAGTGATAGCTGGAGCGGTACCAGAGCGTCGCCAAACGATATGTTCTCCTTCATGGGAGCCGAGATCGTCTCGCAGGTGGTTCGCGACCTGATACCTCTTGGTCTTGAAAACGCCAGCTCCCTTCTTCTTGCTGGAAGCAGCGCGGGTGGTACCGGAGTCATGTTAAACCTGGACCACGTACAAAACCTCGTCCACCATGAGTTAGGTAAGCTTAACGAACTTAAAAAATCTGGACGTCACCACCACGCGCGAAAGTGGAACTAAGTTAAAGAGAATTATTGTTGCTTATTCTAAATCATTACTAATTATTATCCTTTACGAAATGTCCTTACGTATTCGGTACTGGTTGATCCGGGCTGATTCTAATCCACAAAGATAAATATAAATAGTAATTATCTGTCAAACAAGAATTGGGATGGGATAAGCGGCCACTTTAACGTAAACTTCGCTAAGTCGGAAGCACATCCGCTTATTGACTTTTTATAATTAGGCATCGGATTGAAATTAAGTAACGATAACGAAACAATTTACGAAAACTGTCAATGAGGGTAGAAAGATGAGGGCAAAGAGTAATTCACTGTAAGAAAAAAAGAAATAAGTGTATTGCCCAGGGGCTATTCACTCGGAAATCAATGAAAACGATTTCCTTCGTTGAGAATCGACTGTCTCTGATTTCATATGATAAACAACAATGCGATTCGGTGACAAGTGACAGCTTTAAAATTGTGAGAATGTTTAGTGATTTCCAACGATTTCCAGGGATTTCTGCTTGCGATTTCCAGCTACCTTCCACGTGATTTCATTAAAATCATTTCATTTCATTAAAATCCATGATTTCTTGACTGAATACCTCCTCGTGTATCTCTTTTTGATACGCTTCTCTTAACGTGCGAATTTAAAACGGTGACTTAAGAAGTTTTACTTAAAAAGTACACCGACTCGATCAAACTCAAGGATCTCTATTTCTACTTCCTGTTTAATTCTGCAGGTCTGAAGCACATCGCCATCCGCGGTGTCAGCGACTCTGGTTGGTTCCTAGACAGAGCTCCGTATTCCCCGAACGGACTTCCGCCCACGGATGCTGTTAGAAAAGGAATGGAACTGTGGAAGGCTCGGATGCCTCACAATTGCGTGGCCAGGCATCCTCACGAACCTTGGAGGTGCTACTTTGGTTACCGATTGTATCCAACCCTAACCGGTAGGTGCATTATAACCTCTAGATGCTTCGTCGCGAAGACGGTCTTTGGAACTCTCAAATGTTCTATTTGCAGCGCCACTCTTCGTCTTCCAATGGCTCTTTGACGAGGCCCAAATGACGGCAGACAACGTCGGGGCGCCAGTGACGAAGCAACAGTGGGACTATATTCACAAAATGGGTGACAGCCTTCGACAAACGTTCGAAAATGTCACGGCAGTCTTTGCTCCCAGCTGCATCAGTCATAGCGTTCTGACGAAGAGGGATTGGCAGCTCGTCAAGGTGGACGAAGTGTCGTTGCCGCAAGCCTTGCATTGTTGGGAGCAAGTGCCTCTCGGGAATCACCGAAACGAGTATGTATTTCTATTTCTATTTACACATTTATGAAATACGTGGAATAAACTAAATTCGCAAACATTTTACAAATGCTACAGTAGGAACGTAAAAATTATGTAAACGTAAATTCAGCACTCCTCACTTCCCCATTATGAATTGCAGTGATCTGGTAGAATAATCATTAATTCTAACTGTAAATTCTCTTTTAACTAATATTGCGAAGTGTGTGGCGAATAAAAATTCCCATTCGCAATTTAGATATTATACAATGATTGTAAAAACACGTTCATCTCTTTCGGCAGTACGCATTCACAAATCGAGACGAATCAACCTTGCGCGAAATCGGCAAGGAAGTTGCTGCGATCAGGGCCCACGAAAGGAAATGAAACGGTTGTCGAGTTTGCAGAGAAGACTGGCAAGAACAGTACTTCGGTGGATCCGAAGCGTAACGCGTCCGTTGATGCCAGTACGACGGAAGTTCGTAAAGGAGACAACGGATCCACCGAAGGAAAGGGGAACAAAAAGCGTCGAAGGAGGAAACACAAAGGTCGAAAAAGAGAGAGAAATAAGGAGGGAAGACCGAAAAAGGAGAAACACGAACGACGGAAAGGTGGTACGTATGAAATATACATACTTATTAATGCATACTTGTTACGACTCGTAGAACTCACTGCAGAAAGAAATCCTTATTACTTGTCACATTTCCATACTTATCAAAACATGTCGTTTTTCATGACAGTACTTACTGTCATATTATTCTCATAATTCTTTCTAATGTGCAGATTTGATAAACGTAACGCTTCTTACTTCTTAAATCCTATGAACTTCGTGAGTTAAATCGGTTTAAAAGATTATCTTCATTTAAGAGAGAAGAATTAGGATGTATGTGCAAATTCAGTAGTATCCACTTAAATTGCAACGTTAACAATTGAAAATAAGGGGTTAATGAAATGTATAGATTGAATTCTTGAAATTAAGGCACGTTTAGAGTTTTATTTCTTGTTAGAAATACTTGAAACTTCTGTAATTCGCTGCTCTGGCGTGTTAAACCGTTTTTACCAAATTATATTTATTCACCTCCGCGATTTCTAGATACTACAATTTCAATGGCCACTGATGTATTATTGTTTATGTTGTATCAAAAATATGCAACAATGATATTTGATCGTTCATTCAATGTAATTCCAGGCCGACGCCAAGGTGGCAAGCACAGCGGAAACAATCACACCGCCATGCTGAACGGCACGAGATCGCAACGTTCCGTAATACCGTCCAGTAAACGAAAATGCGTCCAAAGCTGCCAATTCCGACTGATCGAGAGGTGCACTTGGCCGCAGTGCAACCACAGTTGTCCAAAGCTGCACAACCCCTTCACCGGCGAGGAGATGGACTTCATCGAGCTGCTGAAGAGCTTCGGCCTGGACATGAAGAGCGTGGCGAACGCCCTCGGCATCGACATCCAGACCCTGAACAACATGGACCACGACGAGCTGCTGAACTTGTTGACTCAACAAGCGAACTAGCGGTTCCATATTCCAGCACAAGCTGCCAGGAAAAGCCGTTTGGAATTGTTCAGGAGGTCGTGGAGGCCATCCTCGAGGCCGATGGAATTGAATCTCGCCCGGTTGTGTTTAGCGAAGTGTTGCAGGACACTCGTTGCGTCTTCTGCGTTTTCTCCGTCGTCGACGATCCGACGCGCAGATTTCAATTTCCGTCCCTAGGACTTCTCGGCGATTCTCGGTTCGCTACGTGCGTCAACGACTCGGCGGTAGAAGCGAGGTTCCTAGCGAAGTCACCGGAGAAAGTTTCGTAACCGTTTCAACGATCGCCATTTCTCCACAACATTCCACTAAGGAATTCGACTTCGCAGTACTGACATATGTGTTCATCGTTGCTCGTTCGTTTGTTCGGACGAGTAGTCGCGACGAAGCTCGGCCGTCGTCTCGAAAGAAGGCGCTGCCGGCTACGCGGTTTGGGAGTACGAGAGCGAAAGGTTTATTAATATATTGGCGGGACACAAAGCCGCTTTGAGTCCCGCGATCGGTCGCGATAAAACGTCGCGGTCGGCGGCTCGTTAACCGAGTTCTTCGAATGCTTCCTATAAGAATGGAAAAGGAAAGCCAACGCTAGGGCATGCCAACGAGGATCGCAGAGGCGAGCTCTCGGGCTCGACTACTGGTCGGCGTAAATAGCGGGGAACAAAACATAATGCTGTTATGTTACCAGCAGCGCGGTAGAAAGCGCCGCGACTAGGGTAATGACGTTATAAATCAAACGTGCTTCACAGCGGTATTCAACCAAAAGTATTGTACATAGCTCCTGAGAATCTATATGACGCGCGGTTGTATTCTTCAATACGTAACTGAGTACTTTAATTTATTTTAGATCGTAGTCGGATTATTCGGACCCTAGACACGTCCTACCGGAAGAGTACTTTATGCCACTTAGTTGTCGTTAGTGACGTTTTCCTGCGGAACTCCCTGTAATATAGAATTGCGGTAAGGACGAGACCGTGGATCTATGAAGAGGGGATGTCAGGTACCACCTGGGTCGGTGAAGCTCCAGATATACGGACAAGGAATGGGTCGCGACCATCTCTTCGAGCGTTCTCGTCTGTTTTAAGCGGATATGGAAACCACTTGAACACCGATCTCCATACTAACTGAATAGCTATCACCCCACAACATGGCGCGACGATTTAAAATTACAACGCGTCGCGGATTATCGGCACGTCAACTAATATTGTAATATTAGCGCATGCGTCAAAAGCAGTGCGACGTTCGAAAGAAGTATCTACAAGATTACTCGAGAACTTCAGGCTATTGCATCTGCTTCTGTACATGTGCAGATCTTACCTATTTGATGCCGCTGCCCATACATAACAACGCTGGTGGCCCCTGACTTTGTTGTATGCCCCTCCCTCAATTTACGCGGCACTTTTTTTACGCGGTTTTGAAACGTCATTATTTTTTTTGTCAAATTATTTGAAATAAATATCTATTTTTAAAACTTATATGTACTAACTTTTATATCCAATATTTTTGTTTGTACTGACAGACTTTATTTACGCGATTTTCATGCGCATAAAGCGAATCCACGTAGAACGGAACTCTGCGTAAATTGAGGGATGTACCTGTACTTTCGTATCGAGCCAATAGGTAGCAACTATTCAGTTAGTATATATATCAGTGAGTATAAAGTGCATGGTATGACATTTGCGATTTCGATATCTTCCGAAACACGATTTCTACAAATTCATACCTTTTGGCACGCCCTTTATCGTACTTCAAAAGCTTTGTAGGTACATTTTGGCTGCTGTTCCCGAACACGAGATTGCGTTTGTACATGTAGCAACGTAAGATGGCTGCTGCAATCCTCTTTCCTTACATCTCGAGCTTCAGCCCCTTTGTCTACGTTGGTACTTTGTGCCCTATCTGTTTCTTCATAGATCAATGGATGAGACAAAGAGCGCCCGAGCGTGAATTTTTTATACAGGATCTTTTGTTCTCTCTCATCGTACGCTTCGACGTCTAGTACGTAAGGATTAGCAAGTCGCAAGAAGACTGTCATCAAAAATGTGTCGGGTAGGAAGACGCGCTTGCCGAATGTACTGATGGTTAAGGCCTTCGCAAACACCTCGCATATCAGTAACCGCATGTATGATAGCATGAACAGGCCAATCAAATTACAGAAATTTAATGCGACGTCCTATTCCGGAAATTTAATTGGCCAGTTCTTCCTATTATGCTTGCAACTAGGTAAACAGCACACCAAAGACGCATTCAGCAAACACGCAGCTAATATATCGTAACATTCATTCGGCTACGTAAAGCACTTAATAGAAATGTGGCGTAATTACGCACACAAGGCTTACACCGCATTTGTAGTCAAGATGTTCACTGAAGAAGACAATTTTTTAATGCGGCAATTAATACGCTATAAAATAAAAGACGTTGCTGGATTCACCCTTATCGTCTTCGTTGAACAAGTGTTGGCAATTTTAGACGTATTAAAGAATTAATAAATGACGATGAAAAGGTTTATTCTTATTACAAAATGTCTTGGAGTGCTTGCAAATTGTTGTTAAGTTTAATGAAGCAAAATATGCACTATAGGAAATCAATTTCTTGCAAAGAAATTTCAAGCTGCAAATTATTAACATATTGAATTTAGCAAACATGCGCTGTTCGCATTTGCTTGCTGCGTCAAATTTGTAGCAAATGCTGCCGTATATGCAGAAATACACACAAATATTTAAATTTATTAAATACTTTTTGCAGCACTTGCTTCTTCTTTATTGCGTACGTCTTTTAGTGTGCACCTGACACGCGAGGTACTTATGAAGGTACTCTGATTTTCAACTGTTTAGTTGGTAGATTGTAAAGTGTGTTTTAATCATAGTGATCTTAAAAGAGAACAAAACCGTACAACAAGTATTTGTCTACAAAGATGCTTTATTTAATGTTTTACGGAAAATTTAAGGCAAAAAAATTGATTAATGTTGCAACATACTGGACATATGGAGATTGAAAGTAACTATTTTTTTTTCACAGTGTACATTGTTCTAGAAGATCAGGAGTACAAAACAAAAAGTTAAAATGGTTTTAGAAACTAGAAAGGATTATTTATGAACCGATGGCACGGAAAGAAATCAGGAGTTTCCAGCCTTCACAAGTCCGCCATTTTGAAACGGTTCAAAATCTTTTTATCTTAAATTCTCCGTAAAATCTCAAATAAAACAACTCGAATAGGAAATATTTTCTACACCTTTTCATTCTCTTTTACACTCTGATTTAAACGCATAGTCTACTAACCCCTTTAAGGCAAACCTGTCTCCTGCTCCGCATTTTGGAACGGAATATCCTCCTATGTCATAGTGCCTTCTCGTTTTTCTACATGGTACGCGAATCGACATATCGAGTTGTGTTCCACTCACGCATTTAAATACGGAGGTCTTCGTTAGAGAAAACAAACCAATACCACTATTTCCTCCCGCGCGTTTCTTCGTTTCTCTGTCGATGCTCTTCCTTGCGTCACTTCAACTTCCTTTTCAACCATACCGTTATTGACCAAATAACATCTTGCCATGTTGACTCGAAGTTCAACGAATTCCACGTTATTTCCAGTGACGAATTTAGTGCCACATTTCATCCGCATTAAAGAGTCATGCTCAGTCAGGAGGCCAAGAAAAACGTGATATTTAGGAATTCCATTCTCTGTACCTGTAAGAATTTTTTCAGTACATGTTTCTGCATTTAAAAAAAATACGCTTTCAAGAATATCCCTTGCTCTTTTTATACCCAAATATCCATAAATAATGGAGTTGTGACCAAGCTCTCAGAGATCCTCTTAAAAAGAGATGTTTTGCGGTAACAACTGCTGTTTGCTATTGGATCATTTGAAATTAAACATTCAGACAAATTTTGTTAATGTATAAGTTTATTTAGGGACTTTCCAAACTATTAAGAATATATATTATTCTAAAACGATGTTCTTAAAGAAAATGTAAAAACCCCTAATTCGAATTTTTCAAAGTTTCCGACTGAGACAGGCTCCTTTATGTTGCGATACATTCACGATATCATTTTTCTAACATATCGAAGCAACCATCGACATGAACATCGACACGTTACGTCAACCCCCCTAATTTATTTATTCAAGCTGAAAACATTTTCCCGATGTTTTCGAGCACAGGAAATTCATCCGAAGACGTTTCGGTCAATCTTTTAGATATTTAGTTGACCACATTCCTTTTCAGCCTTTCATATATTTTCCTTTCTGTAAGTCAATGCCAGGGGGTGTCTACTTAACGTGCTAATGCCATTGACATGTTCGGAACACAACTTTTTCAATAATTATTATCTCAGTTTTCTCCGCAAACATTACAAATGTCTATGTAAGGCAACTACCGTTTTTAATAGGAAAGGAAAGAAACGAAAAAATGAGAAGTGCAAGTTTGTACGATGGACTTTCATTCACTGCCTTTTCATCCCTGCCTCCCTTATAGACTGATTAAATTATCTACCTCAGCGAATCAAATTGTATTAACGTCCTTTGTGTACCGGAGCATATGCGAGCTGGCGTACGCGCGCGCGAATCGATCGGAGTAATTAAAGTAAAGCGCCTAGCATTAGTGTCGATAACCATTGTATTTAACGCTTGTAAAATAGTAATCTCACATAATATTATTTATTTTTAAACTAGCTGTACTTAACGGACAACGCGAACCCAGTGCTCGCGCGCGAGCGAGGTCGCCTCGTCGACAGAGGGTACCCCGGAATTAATTTATTCTACTGTAATCGTTAAGAGCACTAATCGACTAATTTAGCGTGTGCCGCGGTGCGCCTCTACTTTGTCCGACATTTTCAGATCAACGCGCGTTTGCGCTTGTAAATAAATTGTATCTATAACTGTTGTACCCATCAAAGACTATTGCGTTGCACCCGACATGCTTCCTTCGAATCACAATCCTGCTCAAAGTTAATGGAACAGATCTTCCATAAATAAATTGAATTTTGAGATCGTTGCTTATGAGGCTGCTCCAATTCGCGGCTACTGATATTTGGATAAGAATGCCCGTGCTGATTAAAATCGTAAGATTATGCTCAGGCATGCATTAAGAGTACCGGATAACGTTATGAAAATATAGAAAAAAAAAAGGTTGATTGATTGGAATACGTTGCCTTGGCACGTGCAAATTGTATTCAATTAAGCGAACAGGACGTATCAGCAATATTGGACTTAACATGAATTGGGTAGATCATTTTCGACCGGATTACTTACAGCTGATAAATTGTCTTAATTAATGTCCTGGATAACAATTATATACCTAATTTTTATGAGGAGAGTTGGAATTTTAAATTAACTACTACCTAGAGAATGTTTTATTAGGTTTTATTCCTATGGAAGGTAACTCGTCGACTTTGTAAAAAAATACGTAAAATTCAATAGGATTAAAGATGGTCTTCCTTGGATCTTTGAAAACCTAAGTTTCTTTGATCGCAATTTATATTTCAAACTGCGCACGGTTACCTGTAGGAATTTTCAATTTACGAACGATCGCCAGGAACCAATTAATTCGCAAAGGCGAGAGCTACCCGAGTAGCATAGATCGACCGGAACCAGCATAGCTCAATCTGATGGGTCGCCTTGGCTCTTGACATACGTATATGGGACTGCGAGAACAGTTTCTAGGCAACCATTTAGCAAGGCTTTACGTCCTGGGGACGTGGGTGATAATTCGATATAAACGAGATTGGCCCCCGCACAAGGCGATGCAGGAAACGGTATTTAATGCGCCCGGGTCAGGCCGGGTCGGGCAATGAGGCGGTACTCTCCCCTAGCGCAATTGACGTTGCTGAGGAAGTGATGGAAGGATGGCGAGATACATTAAATCCCGGTGATCGGGTCTTCGACTAGTCAGTCGTTCGGTTCGGTCGGTGGGGTGCCCCTTCGTGCTGCTCGAAAGCCAAAAACCGTCCCTGGCGAGGTGCGAGGGGGTCCCCGGGGTCAAGCGTCTTTTCGTCATGTTCAAATGTTGGACCGTCTTGTTGGTCCTCCACTTGTTCTGCGACGTCGGTGAGCATTGTACCGCAGTGTTCCTCCATTCCCAAGGGATTGTTGTTCCTCTTGATCCCTTGGGGAAAAACCGTGTTAAACGTTACCACTATCAAGTGTGAAATAGGCGCCAGTCCCTAAAGGGATGTATCATAACTTTGCAAGCTGTAAAGTTACTCTTTCTGTCTGCGGTTGTATATTGCATCCCTTTAGGAATTGGAGCCCGTTTCGCAGCTCGCACTGGTAATGTTTTATGCTGTTCTTCTTCGGTGCAGTTTTTGAAACGGCCATCTTATAATAAATATATTGCAATAGGACGTGGCGTTGGACATGGGGTTGGGATTATAATATGGTATCGATTATAGAATTATGCCATGTTAATGCTTCAGATAAATATCCCGTGTTTAAATGAAAAAAAAAAGGTGTTTTAGCCCAAATGAAAAAAAAGGGGATGTCAAAGTAACGTACTAATACCAAGTGCCAACTTTCAGTGTTGGCGACTCAATGCGGCAAAGTGTGGTTGACGGTCTCCTCGTTATGGAGACCGATAGCAGCCAGCAACAAGGTGATCGACGCAGAACTAGAAGTCAATTGGGACCTGGATTGCCCACCTAACATAGAGCAGCCGGATACCATCAAGGTGTTCACTGCTGACCCAGCTCATAGTAATAACGATTTTATTCCCTGCTACATGCTGGCTCGAAAACACTTCCGATTCATTTTTTACTTAAATTTTCTCTAGCATCGCTGAATGAGAAGTTTTGTCCCCGTTTCGTTATTGCGTACTTGTCTCCACGTTAATCTAAACGGTACATATAAATGGTGTTAAAATTAAATCCCTTTATTAAATCAGTAATTAATGGATCTCTTACAATTATTTAACGGTAGATCACAGCTAATGTGTTTTAAATTCGAATTCGAAAGATATAGTCCCCGGTGTAATTGTAGCACAATTTATTGTTTTCGTTCATAAATGGGAAAGTATACGGTAGTCTCATTTATCCCATTTTGTTAGTGTAGTTATTTTGATAGACTTTGCCGATGAGCTTTCACTGACAGGTATTTATTTTGTAAAGTTAGCGGTTGTAAGATGCAGCACTTACCGGTAATATAATTTCAGATAAAACTGTGAAACCTCAGTTAACATTGTTCCTTCCGGAACATCCTCAAGGATATTATCGAACAAATATCACAGTTGGGAGACCTCATCTTCCTGGGGGATGGGATGCAGCCGATGGTGCCGCACTTCCAGGTAGGAATAAACCGACGCAAATAAATACGAGTTATTACGCGATACTTTTATTTCAAAATTTCCCCGGCCTGTATACTTACAACACGACATTGTAACGTATCGGATATGTTACATTAATGTCACCAGTTCATCTCAGAAACGTTTCAGGAACGTTGCTGATAACTGCAAATGTAACCTCCAGACGCAACGTATCAAATATTGCGGTGCAATACTGCTGAAATATTTCAGTAAGATGTATTTAATATGTTGCAATGTATCAAGTAATCTGGTAAAATACTTGGTTTGTTGACAAAAATATTTTCTAAAATTATCAAGACGATTTAATCAAGACTTGTTGGTGAAAATAAACGAGTTTAGTAAAGTGCAATGGTAAATTTCGGTTCACTAAATCAAAACATTTTACAGTCAATCAAACAATTTTGTTCAATGAAACAAATTTTCTTTCAGCGTATGTATATGTATCGTTACGCAGAAAGTATTTAATTCACTGAAAAAATCGATTGATCGACCGCATTTGGTTCATTTTAGAAAACGTTTTAGTTGAGTGACCCGAATTTTACTTCACTTGATCAACTTCGTTTGTTTACGGCTAAAATGTTTCGGTGAAATTGTTTTAAAAAATATTTATAGTCAATAAACCAAATATCTCAATTAAAGTACCACCAAATTATTATGGCGTCACCTATCACAATATTAAATGTACTCCGCCAAAAGTTGTTAACCAAAGAATTTTGTCATGTCAACCACTATCATATAATAACCATATTCTGTGATTAAATCAAGACAAATGTTATTGATCCAACTAATTATTTTTCTGCGTGTTGATTCGGTACAAGTAGGCAACGATGACTTTTTTGATACCGAGCTTGTATTGATATTTTATTTCGATACAAGCAATAAACAGATATCAATACATTGGTGGTACCAGTTCATTCTTACTTTCAGGGCCGCATTGCTTGAAGCATTACGCAGCGTTGTACAAGGACGGGGTTATCCTGACTAGTTCCTGTCTTCAGATCTGGCCCACTTGGATGTATGACTTGAGGTCAGTTTCTTTTATTTAATTATCTAGTTTAAATGATATATACATATTGCAAGTTAGAATGAAACTCCAGTTCCAACACCATTTACAGGAGACAGCTTGGAAGACTTCCCATCGGTACCTTGATGATTCCCGGCACGCACAACTCGGGTTGTTACAAGCATGGAGATCTTACGAGAAGGGATGCATTTCAGCGGTACCTATTAACGCAAGATAGAGACGTATGGACACAACTAATTCATGGTATAAGGTACCTAGACATCAGAGTTGGATACTACCCTTCGTTTCCTAATACTTCCCACGGAGAAGGAAGTGTTCACGGTAGTAGGTTTTGGGTCAACCACGACGTTATCCGCATCACGCCGCTGATGACAATTATCAAAGACGTGAGAAACTTCCTCGATGTGGCGAAAGGAGAAGTAGTGATTCTAGACTTCCATAGGTAGGTATTTTCAGAATATTTTTATTAAGTCTCTAGTAATCGAGAACATTATTAGTGTTTGTTTTAGGGCAGAACATCGTTAAAAACATTCTTATAATTCATTCACATTTAGTGACATAAGCTTATAATAAAATTATAAATAAACCATTCATGAAGCATCTACTTGCTCAACCCTCGGACGAAGATATGAATTTACATTATTAAAGATTTGCTGTATGCGGACGAAATTGTACTCTTTAATTTATGCATCAATTAATTATGGGCGAAATTGTAATCAAACGGTGCCACTGGTTTGTAGATTTCCGGTAGGGTTTGAGGGAAGGCCCAGTAGACATCATCGTTTGGTGTCCATTCTTCATCAGGCATTCGGGGGATTAATCCTGAAGCCTGACAGAGGAGTCGATGGTCTTGGACCAACGATGAACTACATTTGGACCAGCGGAAAGCGGTTGATCATCTGTTACGGTGACAAGCACACGGTCAATGGTGAGAATTGTTGTCGACGTTGTTCTTTCTTAAGATTAAAAAAAAATAATGTAACTTCTGAGAAATTTTTATTTTTAGAATACGATTGGCTGTGGCCGCCTATGACGCAAGCCTGGGGTAACAAGCAGACCATGGAGGACCTCTTAGAATATTTGAACGATGTCATAATTGGCAACACAAGACCCAGGAGCAACCAAAACCCATTATGGGCAGTAATGGCGGAATTAACACCTTGTCCACTGGACATAATACTGAATCCATCTGGTGGTCTTCGTCAAATGGCGGATTCCGTAAATAGGAATCTAACGATATTATTCCAGGACGAATGGTGGAAGCAAACGAATATCGTTGCTACCGATTTCTTCCTGGGAAACAATCTTATTGACGTCGCCATTCAAGCAAATATTAAGAAAAGTAATATCGCAAAGTGGCGCCTCTAATGGCAAAATTTCTCCTACGGTGTAGGCTCTAATTAAATTTCTCTTTTAATTTGATTATTGAACTCTATAATGGCGCAAATTGTTTAGATTCGTTCCCAGAAAAGGTATATTCATTTCTTCGATTCGGTCAATTTCTAAATTTATGTTTAAAAATCTGGTGAGATAAGTTAAGGCAATAATAGAAGAAATAACTAGTGGTAAATGCATTGAACGGTAATTTATCTTTGAATCATGAGTATAGATATCATGTATGATATATTTATTCGAATAATAAAATAATATGTAAAATGTGTAGAATGGAACTTCATATTACTTCTTTGTCATCTCTTTCGCTTAATGCGAAACTATAACCAAAGTGGCATCATTAACACATATTTTTGATATTTCATGCCCTTGAAAAGATTAGAATCCAAAATGAAGATTTTCAGGAATTATGCATAATAATTTGTATTTCTCAGAAAAAACGAAATACATAGTTCTGTTATCACTAATGCTCATTCATGTATAATCGAATGTTAGCTATGAAGATGCAATGTACAATTATCCGTAACATGCATTTCCTATAAGAGCGGAATATTTAGGTAAATATGAATCAACAACAAATTATACGGCTGTATCATTCCGTGTTAGGTACGTAAGAGAGAAACGTCAGCGATACCACGAAGAATGACTTCGCGCATAGACATATAGTATGGACTGAGTATGTATATGACTGTACTTATATATGTACATGTATATGTACTTGTTGACTGTACTTACACATGTACATGTATAATTGAGTAATGTGTCACTCTGTCCACGTAATAGAGAGAAACAGATACATGTTAGTGCCACTTTCTTTCTCCCACTTTCTGTTACGCGGATAAAGTGGCAACATTAGATACTCAGTCCATACTATATATCTACATTTTGCGGGATACCAGCTCAGTCTCAACTGCTCCTTCCGATTACACGATTGATCTTCGTCATTCTTGCAGATATGTTAAATTCAAGTTCACAGAATACTGAAATATATCGCACTTACTTCTGGTGGACTGGCGTACTACTTTTGAAGTTACTATTAATGATTCCATTGACAGGAATACAGAGGTTCAGAAAACAAGTAAGCAACGGCTTATTTTTTTTTAATACGCGTTGAATAATTATCGCATTCATTATTATCATAAATCACGTATGAATGATCCCCGCTAAAAACAGTTTCGTATAAAGAATACTCGCCGAGAACAAGTTTGCAGTATATCCTCTACATTACGTTCATAGATTCAAGAAGCATTGAAATCGTATTACAAAGCCAAATCACTAGTTGTCTGCTTTTCATATTATCCGATATACCCTCGTCATTTTAATTTCAATATTTAAACATTTTGACGGATTTTCTTTTGTGTTATGGCCACTCCTTTACATTTAAGTATAACAAATTGTCATTTAATAATAAAACGTTGAGTGATTCCATATCGAGTACTACTTGGCAGGTTCGTAAATTATTAAAAACAAATTCCTTTTTATAAGTTGAATATTCGACTCTAAACAGGGTCCTCTTTAAAAGTATTATATAACATTCTTGTTCCCATTAAGATGTATTAACATAACTCTAAATGGTTAGAAATGGATAAAACGGAGATATTAATTAACAAGTGCAAACGCAACTTAAAGGACCGAACAGATATAATATGATCCTGCGAGATAATAACTCGTAATCGTTATTTTAAACATGAGCCTGAACAAACATCTGCTCAATTTCATTATCGTCACATTTTTAGCACGAACCCGCCAAATAGTACTTGATAAGGAATCACTCAACGTCTTATTATCAAGTAGCGATGCCCGATACTTAAATGTAAAGAGACCCGAAGAAAGCGCTGCAAAGATGTCAAAATCTGTAAACATAGGAATTAAAATAACGGGGGAATACCAATTGACTTGGCTTTGTAATACGATTTCAATGCTTTCTGAATCTATAAACACAATGTAGAATATATACCGCGAGTTTGTAGTAATTTTCTACACGAAAGTGTTTTTAACTGGGATCAATAACGCGTGTGACGTCGTTACTTCTATTAATTACATAACTGAACATATTGTTCACTTGAATATTAAGGTATGCTATACGGTGTTAAAATAAACTAAGTTTTATTCCTGCGTTCAATATCTCATTTCCCGTCATTTACAAAAGTGCTTTTCCTAAACAGGTCTATATATCACCAGAGGATGTTGCGTTTTTATCGTTCTTGCCTCGTGCAAAACTATTGCACAGTGATCCTGATGTGGAACGCGTTCGTCGAGCACATCTCAATGATCTGGAGAACATTCTGCCCTGGATTTTATGCACATGGCTGTGGTTAACCACTTCGCCATCTCCTTTGCTCGCTGAGCTCCTGATCAAGACTTTCGCAATCTGTCGAATCGCGCATACGGTCGTTTATGCCATTGTTCCTTTTCCTCAGCCTACGAGGTTTCTGGTGTTCATCGTGGCTCATCTGATCACGGTCTATCAAGCGATATCGACAGTATGCTATTATTTCTAACACATACCGAACGGCTAGTTATTTATAGCTTCTGGATTAACATAACCGGTGTATATTGTTTACATTTTATCGCCCTTCTGAGATATACGTTATCACCCGCTGAAACTGTGGAGGATGAACTATGGAACATATCTGGCGATTAGTTTGATGAACTAGTGATGCATGTTTGTGAGTGACCACCATGGGCGGAATTAACTACTTTACAGCGATCTACATGTTTCTTGCTAAAGAAATATCTTGGTTGCGGATAAATTTATTTTGTGGAAAGTATCGGCATTGCAAGCCAAATAATGACAACTTTGGATACAAGTGGAAATGATTTTGCGAAAAAATGACATGTACAACGTTGGCTTTAGATGGTGAAAACATTATCGGGAGTTATGTCATTCTTTTTATAAAATACAGTAAGTATTCAATTTAAGCAATGTAATATTTGCGGTAAAAATTACTAATGGCGAATAAATATTGTTCCGAGTTGGTACGAGAACGAGATCACCAGCAAGTGGCAGAGTTTTGAGAGAAAATATCAGATTTACCGGAAATCTATCCACTTCTGCTTTGGCGGGAGAATGTTATCAATTCCTCCAAAATCTTTCACTTCTTGAAGTGAATCAACTTTTTATTCCAAAACATTTATATACAGGCAATCTAATGAAAGTGCATAGTAAAAGCTTGGTAAAGCTAAGTTCAATAGAATTAAATTTAATTTAAAATTCTTATTAATTCCATTCTGTCAACCCCACATTTGTTTATTAAATAGTTAATTCGGCAATTACGAATGTATTCGTCCATTTGTACATATGTACATCGTTTTACCTACAAATTTCAGGCTTTCTATAAATACACTTTAATTTTTTATATTTCAAGGTTGATAATATATTCTCTAACTGTATTTATAACGCAATCGCAATATTACCGTGCAGTTGTTACCTAAAATTCTTGCAGTAAACGATAATTCTCGTAACTTGAACCTAAGAGAAGCTGCCCCAATGAATTAACAATTACTTAACAACCCGCCTTACAGCCAATAGCTAGAAACAAATTAATTACTTTTCACGGCAATTACCCCACAGAAAGAATTCCTAATATAATTGTATTCTGTTCCATGGTTCCACGTGATTAATTTCCGAAGAGCCGACAAAATTCCACAGGTGAACCCCAATATTTTTCCGAACCATAAATTTCCCAGGATCTCCGATCTTGGGATCCAGGGAACTGCGGATCTACTCGAAAAGCATCAACCTGAGAAAGGGACTGACGAGATAATGGCAAGATAAAACGAAATGTATTCCAAATGCCGTATCGAGCGACCGTGGTATTGGACTTTCAAATGTGCAGACGCTAGATCAGCTTTTAAAGACTCCTGGATACGTCGAGCGCGTCCATACCGGTAACTTCTGATCCATTTCAGTTCCCCCTGAACCGTGAATCGAAAAGCCAACAGTGTCCTCTTCCCGAAGGATGATGCCAAGAGAACCGACACGGATGGAAGAGGAAATATGGTCTATCTACGCATGGTGGGGAAGCGTCCTTGTCCTGCAACTGATGACTCTTACGTGGATAACCGGACGCATTCGAGTTAAAAGAAAAGTAAGTCAAATAAGAAAAGTCAGCACTTCTCGTAAGCAGCCATGTTTAAAGTGGACGACCGCAGGAGTATCGGTACGACGTAAAATCGCACACGTGGAATAGCCTCTATATGCCAATTCAATTACGGCATAAAGAGTTCTGAAAACCAACGGAAGATAAGTAACAATCCTTTCATGCGAACAGGTCGGTTAAGAGGGTACCGAACCTTTCTACTATTACCGACTGAAAGACGATTTACTGATTCACAGAGAGAGGTATTTCTCTACGAATTGAGAAACGCTTTTCCAGAATGATGGAATGACTATTCAAGTCATATTGAAATCCAGATAAAAATATAAACTTACAGATTCCGTTACTACCTAAACTGTTACCATCGATAAACCTGTGCCCAAGTAAAAGTATTCGGGACTTACTTGCGTTCAAGATGACCATACTTCTATATAAAAAAAAATAGTGATAATAAATCAATTCCAAACAATTGTAAAAAAGGAAAATAGGTAAAATCGGGAAATTTGTGTTACACGTACACTACGACATAGGTAAGGAAGAACAATATTTAGTTCGGCGTCATCAGTACAGATGGCTACATAACCTTTAATATCAGGAAACTCGGTAGAGTTTTGCGTAATATGCATCAAAAACCTTGATAAACGCGAAATTACCCAATTCTATCTGTAGCGAAGGAATGCGCTCACGTACAGAGTCTTTTGTCGGTTGCTCGGTTGTTCCATTAATTTTACTTGGTACTTGCGTGAAACTCGACCGAATCTCTTGATTGGCAACGATAAATTATTCTGCCGTGGCTGTGTTGCCAAATCATTAAAAAGAAACGTTGGAAACGAAGCTACTATTGTTACAAAAATATTGATTAACATAATTATACTGGCAGTTAACTAATAATTGCATTTTTGTATTTAATCGTTACAGGTTATTCACAGTGAAGAAGACAAAATGTGGTTCACGGGGTCGGACGTAATACTTTGTCCAACTGGAGGAGGTCATCCGGAAGTGGATCACGTGCGAGAAGGTCATCGTAATGATATTGAAATCATTGTAACATTTCTGTTAATCGTCCCCATTTGGTTGAGCACCAACCCATCTTTTCACGTAGCTAAAACGCTTTTGCGGTGTTTTCCAATATCGAAGATATTGCACACTGCATTATACATGAATATATTTTATATGAAAGAGTTCTATCAAACCATTCTTCTTGGCATTGCCTATTGTATTTTAGGTTACATCATTTCATCTTGTGTCATTTTTTCATTTTTGTAAACAAATAAATGTATTTACGTATTACGTTTAAACCCATTTTCATAATTATAGATCAATTAATGAATACAATTGAAACATTGGCATCGGTAACATTTTTAAAACATCGATTACTCTATACATAATTCAAGAAGATGTCCTATGCGGGTGTAAGGAAGGATGTATAAACAGAGATGAGTTGGGAGATTGCTCACGGGCAGG